CTCCTAGAAAGCCAAGAAAATTCATCCAAACTAGCTTGGAATGTAGGAAAATCCAAAGAAACCTAGAAAACTAGGGAAAGCTCTAGATAAATAGGGCAACACCCTAAAAAGCCTTAGGCAAATGCTACCAAACCCAAATCCTATCAAAACCTCTTCAAAATTTAGATCAAATCCTAGGATCAAGTTCTCCTAAATCCAAAACCTTCGTGCCATTCTTCAAGGGAAAAAGTTTATATAAGGTTGCAACCCTATAATGTAGAGCTACAGATGCACCTTTGATTGATCATCTCGACATCGAGTTGTATGACCATGAAGAATAAAAGATTTTAAGTCTCAGAAATAGTGCATTTTACAGCATATTATCTACACCGTCCATTTTCAAAATTTTCATATGTTTATGGATTTACTTGATTTTAACCATTTTTTAAATTTTAAATTTTATAATAAGATATAAAAATAGATTTTGAGATAATCCTAAGAATATTTTACAACAAAATTATATACCATGATAAAATTTGAAGGCGCACCTTATCTCTATAGCTACAGATGCATCCGTATACCAACTACACCCTTCTTCAAGACAACAAGAGAATGCATCAAAATGTGTAAATCGACCTGCAGTCCTAATATGAGCCCCTGGGTTTTCCAAATATGTAATTTTTCTCTCTTTTATGTTTATTTATTTATTTGTTTCTTTATTATTTCGGATTATTTATTTTATCTAAAAATTTATTTGTTTTAAAATTTACTTAAATTTTAGAATTTTTTTAAGGTGTAATTTATGGATTTGAGAATTGACGCTGCAATAGATTAAAAAAAGAACCAAATCTACATAGATCTGCGATGCTTCTGAGTGTATAAATTGAGCAACCCCACTCTACTTACTGATTTCTAAACTAACTGATTGTGACAAGATATTTCAGTTGATCTCGTTAAGAGATCAGCGTAAATCCGAGCGTAAACAGGATCACCTTTGTTCAATGGCCCTAAATTGTGTATCCCTGAGATGATTCCCGCCCTAACCAAATTAAAATCCCCACTAGAGACAAAATCCTTTCATAGGAGGAGATTATTATGCCATCTTACAAATGAAACCATGTATCATAATTGGCCCTAGTCTCAATAAACCATAGAACACCCAGTATACTTCCAGCGAAGACCTTGGTATTTCTTTGTATAAAGAGTTGTGCAGGCTTTAGTCCCAAGTACATTACCTAAACTGTGTGATATCTATTAGCGAGAAGGGCATCATCTTTATTCTCGCAACAAATATCCCTTTTAGTTCCAATTTTATCCTATTGATTTCCATTTTCTACCAATTTTGACCTATTGTTCTCTTCTTTTTGAAAGGGCAATATTCCTTAAATCAATCTTTCTGAAAAGGATCAATGTTATCTTTTTCCTCAAAAACTTTACTTTGAACTCTTGAAATTACCTAATTCTCAACTAATACTAATTTAAACTTTTCAAATTACCTAAATCTCAACTAATATTCTTTTGGGAAAGTATAGAATGAGACTATTTACCTTTGTATACAATGAGACCATTTACCTTTGATTCAATTACTTACCACCATCCGATGTGAAATTTGATAGCTCTGATGTGTCACAAAGTTGGAGAAAATTTCTTTTGAAGTTTGAACGTGGTCAATAGAATAATTGCAGCCACCCAATCACATCCAATGGTCAAGATTAATGTGACCACCCTGTACCAAAAGTAAATTGTCCCATTCTATACTTTTCCCTATTTATCTTAGTGAATTATAAATTGAATAGTGCTATATTCATAGTATTTAATTAATATTCTTATTATTTTATATTTATTATAGCTTTTGTTACATTATATTAGTAGTGTACTTAATAGTATTTTATATCTATAATGACATTGAAGTTCATAACAACTATTATTACTATTAATTATTTCAATTACTATTACCATTAATTACTATAAAAAATATTTACCGACGAGGTCAACTCTATTTATTGGAACAACTTCTGTTGAGTCGCTGCACCTATCCTTTCCTTTGATTTCCACTTTCTAGGAACTTTTGTTTCTTGTAAACATGATTTGGCTTAGGATTTCCATTTATCATTTCAGGGTTTCTCTGAATTTGGAAGCTACCACTCAGTAAGTTTCTATAACAAGGCTCAATTCAATTAAGTCCGTAACGTCTTTTGCCATATCTCCTTTTGAGTGAGACCGGGATCTCATTGTGATTTTATTTAACCCCCCCCCCCCTCCCTTACTTTCATGTATTAGGTATTTTTTATATATAATGACATTGAACATCATAACAAATACTATTACTATTAATTATTTCAATTACCATTACTATTAATTACTATAAAAATAATTAATTATATTTATTTAAACAATATTCAAATTATAGAGATAAATAATACAATTGAAATTATGTTTTAGAAAATCATTACTGAGTTATGAATAGAATTATAATCATATCTGGAAGTTGACTTGATATATCTTCATATTTTCATTTTTCCCAATTTTCTAGACAAATATTTACTTATAAGTAAATAATACATTTATTGATATAATTAATAATAATTTTGGAGTTGGATCCCTCAAATTCTCTCTTTCTATTTACTCCCTCTATAATCATGTGCAACACACGTTGAAACCACTATTAATATTCATGATTTTAATAATTATTACTATATTTATTTAAATTATATTTACATATAGGTAAACATATAAGTACTAAAATAAGTAAAAATAATTTTATTTATATTAGTGAATTGTAAAATTAAAAATGCAAAAAAAAGGGAAAAGTAATAATAATTAACCGTAAATACAAATTATAGAGGTAATAATATAATGGAAATTATTTTTAGAAAAACCATTACTGCAAAATGAGAGTTATAAATAGAATTGTAATCGTATTTTGAAGTTGACCTGATGTGTCTTTGTATTTTAATTTTTCCTCATTTTCTAGAATAAATATTTACTCATACATATATAGTATATTTACTAATATAATAATTATAAATTTCGAGTAGTTTAAAAAATATTTTATTAAAAATTTTAAAAAATAATTATTATCTAATAAAAGCCCATATATGAAGATGGATCCATCAAATTCTCTCATTCTATTTACTCTCTCTATTATCACATGCAACGTACGTGCAAATCACTAGTACAATCATGAACTGTCATCATCATCCTCCTCCAAACCTTATCCCAATTATTTGGTGTTGGCTAATATAATCATGCATATAAAAAAGAGGTTCAACCCATCACATGGATTCAATTCGAAGAGGTACAAGTAGAAGGAGCAAATACAAAATTGTAAATAGCAAAGAGGTACCGGCCATCACATGATAAAGGTATTCATCTCATTGAAAAAGGAACGTGGCTTACTAAGACAGGCATAGTAACATATTCGTAGTTCATAAAATGCATAAGAAAAGGAGAAAAAACATACACCAAATGCCAAAAGGAATAAATTTTCCCATTACCATAGTTGAAAGGAAAGGTATATAAAGGGATCATATACTTTTAATACAAGGACGTCACACTCACTCTTGTTGGTCAGATTTCAAATCAAGTAGTTGAGATTGTGCCATTGACCAAAACTTTAACTTAAAAAAAAAAAAAGACCCTCTTGAATACTTTTCTAACTTTGTTTCTAAGGATTTTGGCTCCAATTACACTATGTGCCTTTTCAGTAATAGAATGTCGTCCCTCTCAGTCATAAGGAGGAAGCATCACTCGTTGCTTCCTTGACTTAGCAAATTAAGGACCACGGATCATGAATTTCATGGTATTATCCGACCATTCGATCGTGTTCTTCTGTTAACATTGTTTCTGCCTTTTCGAGATGGCCTTTCTAATTGAGAACCAGTTTGTGGATGATCTTCTCCCTGGTACGCACTTCATCTAGCTCTCACCCTTGGTCCACATGCATGACCTTGGCATGAGACAAAGTAGACCAACCCTCAGAGCGAAGCATCTCAGGTTAATTTTGATACACCCAAAGACTTGTCGATATCTTCTTTTGTAGTTCCAGGATTCTCTTAGCATTTAGAACCAGGATATTAACTTCCCCATCGAGAGGAGCGAAGGGTATCGGGGCGGTGAAAATGTCCTCAAATTCCAGCCTAAATAAGGACCAAGCATGGACAAGGTCGGGAAACGAAAAAGCTTCATATCCCTTGGATCTACACTCCATTCATATGGGCTCCCAAGATTTATTTATAATATAGACTTTTCTAGAATGGAGGAGACTACTTTGAAGCTCCTTAGGGTCTTCACCTACCTTAACAGTTGTATTTTAGGTGGGGGAGTGCCATTTTTTGGTGGTCCTATAAGAGCTCAAAAATTTTCCCAACAATAATATAGAAGTGGACTAAAAAACATGTATTAGATAATGTTGTTTCTGAGAAGGTTGGTGATGGCTACATATTACAAATTCTGACATTCCAAATTAAGAAGATGGAAATATAAATTGGGATAGACAATAGACATATTGAAGGACACTCCTTGGAAATATCTACTGGTTCTTATGTCTTCCTGAATTTGCCTATTAGGTTTTCAATGCTATTACAGGTGTCTTACTGGTTAAAAAGGAGTCCAACACCATAGGACTTCAACTCTCCAACTTTTCTTACATGGGTTCTTTCCTGTATCATGGATTTTGACAAGAAGGTCCTTAAAGTAGAAAAGTTTCATGAAGTTGGCATTGTCATGAAGCAGATTACACTTTATGTGTGCTCATTTTCATGAAGCGGATTACACTTTTTTGGGTGCTAAATTATTTTCATATAAATATTCGCAAACTTTCACATCGTATTAAAACTTATGTCTGGATTTATGCGAACTTTCAACATGATTCCACGTGGTTACTGAAATATCTAACGACTTGTGCACCTGAATAAGTCATTAATTGCTTTTTCCTTAACTCGTAATTTTCAAAATACCGATGTTAGATTAAGACAGGAGTAACTAAAGAAATATTCAGGATAAATGCATCTCAAGCATGATAGTAGTTTCTATTCAAAATCTGACTTTACCCCATGGGCATGGCTGAATTATTCGATTCTTCCACATCCATCTGGTAGTGTATTACTCACAAATACGCCAATGAATTGAAACTTACTTGATGAGTGATTGCAAACGACTCCCTTCCGTTAACTGTATATGGACGTCCACGACCATTCAAAGGTGATGCTTAATTAAAGTCCCTGCACTAGCATTTGATATAAATAAATTGTTCTTCACCGCTTAAACTAAGATGATGATGACGATGAGAGTAAAACAACAGTGGAATAAGTCCAAAGTCAAGAGACATAATGTGTGCCGAATCAATGATCAAAAGGAAAATACTTAAAAGATGCTAAAAAAATGGAAAACAAGATCCCTTCTAAGATTTAGCATGTATAAGACTTGTCACAACCTCTTAAGAACCACAAAATTCAGGAAGTGAAAGAGAATGAACACCTGTAGGATAATCATTGGTTTCATTTGTCTCCATGGAGATTTTCTCGGAATCTAACATACCAGTCGACACCATCATCAATGGAGGTCTATTGATGACCACTGAGGAAACTCCAGGTGGAGCAGCAAAGGTTGGTCCATAAGGCATAGCCACTGGTGACTGCTGTGTGTGTACCCCAGGCATGTGAATAGGTAATCCAGGTATCAAAGGCATGTTAGAGCCCCCTGAATTGTTTGAGGGGTGGAGAATACTAGCTTCTAAAGTTGGAAGAAAAGGATGGCTCGAGGAACAATTCATGTCGAACATGCGCATTCCCATGCCCATGCTTATGGCCATTCTCAGGCCCGAAGGCCAGACTCGTGAAAATGAGGGCATGGATATGTACTGCGATCCGGTTGGCGACAGTTGTAGTGGGTGCATGCACATAAACGCCATAACCTGAAAAGCATCAGCAGTGAAAAATCGTCCCAAGATGAATTATGCTTATACAAATGCAGGTTCTACAAAAATTAGAAATCATTGTAAATGAGGAGAAAATATCTTGTCCTACATTTTTCTCAGCTCAGGTTTCTATGAACTTGTGTTTTCAAGGTCCTATAGGAGGAGTAAATATCACCATATCTCTATCTTTCAAGGAAAGTCATAGGGGGAATAAAACACTGGAAAACTCTACTTTAGTTAGAAGAGATTTCATCTTCTAATCCCATAATAGTTTTGTAAGATTTTAAAAGAAATGGTGACATTCATAACCAGTACCATGCACAGCAACAAACAAATCAAATTACAGAAAACAAATCATAGAAAATCGTTACTTGGACTTGCATCTGATGGGCTTTCAGATATTCAATAGCCTCATTTAGCATCGATGCCTTGTCGACCTGCACTAAAGCCTCCAACCTCAAACACTTTGATGCAAGTGAGAGTGTCAAAGGTTAAAAGAAAAACCACCACAAATGAGTGGTCATAATGACAACCTTATTGCAATTGGGTATTAGTTCTTGTAAGGCCCTCAACTTCGAGTTGATCCGCTCCCTTCGCCTCTATTCAGAACATTTAGAATTCATGGAAAGTCATCAACATAAATGGGTAAAAGGAAGTCAAAAACTAAAGATAATTATTGTTTTTTCCAAGCCTTGGTATCTTTGCAGTTACCCTCTCTGACAAACTGTGATCTTCCATTGCACGGCTTTGTTTCTTGTGCAAATTCTTCCTTCTTAAATCCATAGAGTCACCATCCATTGCCTGCAACCCAATATAAAAACTTACAAAACCCAAAAAAATTTGTCGATATTTGGACAAAATTTCCTCACTATACTGTAAATAACTGAGAATGGTGGAATTTGGATGACTTCTGAAGTTTGTTCACCATCAGTGTTTCAAAACCCAGATCGGTGGGGTCGATCATTCATCCGCAGATATGTGTTGTGGATGTACGCTATTTAAAAGTAAAATAGCATACACCTAGGTACTTGGGTTCTTAGCAGTTAATGTGCTTGCATATTAGTTAGTAATGCTTGTATTCAAACCTCATATAATCCATTTTTCTTCAATGATTTTAAAATTTCAAGAAAAAAAAATCCTATGTATGTGCCGGGCTAGGCTAGGCCTATGGAACATGCCATGGACCTCAAGCCCAGGCCACCAGCCTTGGATTTTAACCTATGAGCTAGCTTATTGTTTGGGATCAGGTTTTAAGTGACTGGCTAAGTAGGGCGCTGGTTTATTTCCACCTGTGCCTATAACTAAAGGTATGGCTTTTGATAGAGCAGAATGGTAGAACACGATTCATATAACTGACATATAATTGTGGTAAAGTTCGGATAATGATGATGATTTAATTTTATTGTATAAAATCTTCCTAAATATACATACAAAACCAATTGGCCAAACTGAAAAGAATAGATGCCACCACAGGAGTAAAATGAGATTTGCTCCCTTGGCTAAACCCTGGTAAAGAGTAATTTTAGGACACCAAAATTTGAGATATGAGATCTACTTAACCTTTTTTTTTTTTTTTGGGGTAAATAGATCTATTCAACCTTGCCACAAACAAAAACAAAAGGTTTTGCTCCATGGAATTGCTTGAAAACAAAATCATTCCTTGGCTCTTATTTGCTATGTTAGAAGAGATGTACCTCCACGATGGAGGTACAGTTTGTGCCTTCATAAATAAAAAAAGAATTCAGAGGCTCATGCTTTTGGCTAAGAATGGATTATCCAAACTAGCTTTGATTGTCAATAGATTTTGAACTTGTATAAAAGCTATTGATGTTATATAACATCTTTACACATGTACAATACTTCTAAGATTAATGGACATAAGCCACATTAAATTTCAAAACTAGAAAAAGGAAAGAAAACAAAACCGCATCCTAAAATTCCGAATATTTTCACTCAATATCTTTGCTACTTTTGTTTTGAGAATACTCATGTTGAATTAATGTCGATCTCAAGTTCCGTTTCAAACAATCCTCCTATGTAGGTCATTTCCCTTTGAGACCACTCCCTTGAAAGGATAGTAGTGCAAAAAAAATCAACTCGACCAAGTTACTTGGCTCTTGAAAGGATAGTAGTGCACAGACAATCAACTCGACCAAGTTATTTAGCTCTTGGTTGAGCCGACTAACATGGCCAAATTAGGTACACGCCAAAACAAAAGCCAAAAAAACAGGTAAGAAAGCCTCTAAAAAAATCTTTTAAAATAAAAAAAATTTAAAAGAGTTATTAGAATCATTAGGACACTAAATAAAATCAACAACCTCTATAAATGATGAATTACTGAAAAAGTGGATTTATACCTTTAGTATTTGAATTTTTTTTAAAAAAAAAAAAATCTTCGAAGAGATATTCCTAAGGGATAATAATAGAAATCTTCAAAATGAACTTGGTAGACATTCTACCCGCCAATACTTTCACTATCACACCCACAACCCAATCACGGTGTTTTCTTGCTTTACCCACAACCCCGAGTCAAAAAGTAAATATTTTAAAACCTAAACTACCTTTCATCTCTCTCTCTCTCTACCTGCCCTCTCTCTTTGTATCTCTCTACTCTCTTTCTCTTTCTCTCTTTACCCACCATCTCTTTCTCTCTCTAACCGCCATCTCTCTCCACCCAACATTAGGGAGAGGAGGTGCGTGGAGAGAGAGGGTGGGTAGAGAGACCGATATTAGACAAAGAGAAAAAGGGCCGGTAGAGAGAGAGCGAGGGTAGAGAGAGAAAGGGGTGGGTAGACAGAGGAGAGAGAGGGCTGGCAGAGAGAAAGAGAGAGGGGAATGATAGTTTAATCTTTAAAACATTTAATTTTTAGACCGGATAAAAACAAGAAAAAATAGTGAGTGGGTTATACGTGTGATACTAAAAGTATTATGGATAAAATATCTACAAAGTTCATTTTGGAATATACATAATTTTTCTTATTTCTAACTAGGATGCTAGTGTTTTCATATTTTTATAATTTTTGCATTTTGTCTCATTTTTTAGTGTTTAGTTTAGCTCGGTAAGTTATAGACCTAACTCACTTAACCTCGCCTCGCACGTAAGGCGAGGCCAAGTTACTAATGAACTTTGTCGAGTCTTAAGGCGAGCCCAAGTTACTCAAGGACTTTGCCGAGTCGTAGCGTTTACGCACTCCCGCCTATCCATTGGAAAGTGAGGAAAGTTTTTTTAGACAACATTGACAAATAATGTGTGGTACACAAACCAGCCATCATAACGCCGCTTTTCATACACATATGGCATGGAAAGTAGCAGCTATTTGATGTTACCCACAAAAAAAACATCTCTTAATTGGGACAACACCATCCTTTGATAATTTATCAGGTTGGAGGTGGTTGTCCAGACTCTGTACCCAATGCCATGGCAATGCATATTCTAACTAGACTGCTATTAATATTTAGTAATTAGCATAAGCTCATATATATATATATATATATAGATAAAAAAATAAAGCTGGGATTAGCTTAATAGTTTATATGAATATAATAGCTTAACCGCCCATATTGAATCTAGGTCGATTTGACGATCATGGATATTTGATAGTGTTTGAATTTTAATTTTGTTTTCTACAAATCCAAATCACTTGAAATTTTAAAAGTGTATACATAGATATGAAAAAAAATAATTCGTAAAATATAAATTGATCAAAATATCCCAAAAAATTTACGGTGGTATTTTGATCAACTTATAGTTTGCAACTTATTTTTTTGTATTTTTATTAGGTGTGTCTCACTAATATTTACATACGCTCCAAATTTCAGATCATTCCGATTTGTAAAAAATAAAATAAAAAAGATAATACTACTGGACACCAGTGACCGTGCGACAATGTTTTGGAGATGAT